TTTTTTGCACCCTTGTAGGAGAAGGTAACTCATCTTGCGTGCGTGGGAGTATGGATGTGTGACGGCTGTTGAGCCACAGATGTTGCGTTGTGAGTGATGGACCTCGTGTCAAACAAATATTGCAAGAACGCCTCCCCCCCACTTGTTTTTCTGTGCCCGTTCCATTTTTCTGGCGCCAGCAGACGCTCCTCTCGGTGAAGATACATGTTCAGCTCATCAGCCGGGGTCACACACAACTCTTCTTTGCCCCTTTTGTTATTGTTGCTCCTCCCCAATTTTCCCTGTTTCGGGCTGCAACGCAGGCCTGTTCAGTGGCGGTTTACCGAGCGGCGGTGATGCCTACCAAGGCCCTGTTTGAGGAGGCAATTGAGCCAGTCAAGAAGGATTTCCCGGCCAACTACAACCTCCTCATGAAAAATGACCTTGACAAATGGACACACCATGCTACCCCCAGCAACCTGGTGAACCTGAAGATGTCCACCTCCAACTCTGCGGAGTCCACCAGGTGAACGAAAGGGGTGGATATGTTTAAAAGCCTTTTGCAGGTCCGAATCGACGCACTATACCCTTCAAGAGGAGCGTTTCTCGCTGGATCTCATAGATGGTGCGTCAGGATGTCCTCTCACTCAGCGTCAAGCGGCAGATGTCGGTTCCCGTTTGGGCGTACACAGGAGTCAGCGTTTTGTGAAGCCCCCGACAGCCGACCACTCACTGTAGTTCCGAGTGTTCTCTGTTGACATTTCCATCGCTTCTTCTCATTTATGCATGTGATCTTGTGTCGTGAATGTTGGTGGTAATCGAAGTGGTATTTAGTAGGTGCTTTTTTTTTCAGTGGGTCGATCCAACATGAAAGAATCCAAGATGAAGCAACTATTTACCATCCCTCACTACTATACATCCGCATAAAAAAGACTTGGTGGATGGGTGCATTTCTGTTTCCCATCCGGAGAATATCGTAGCCCTTCCCTTGTCACCCGTTGGTCAGCGTGTCAGCCGGGTCCATGCTAAACGTGCGGACACATGTACATTCTCACCCAATTTTATTATTGTTAGGAATCCTGCAGTCCCGATTCTTCAACGCCCACTTGTCCGTGTGTTGTGATTTCCTTCTCTACGCACCAGTGTGTGCGGCCACACGCTTTTTACGGTGTTCCTTTTTAACTCGTGAGCGTCTGAATCGTTGATGTGTCCCTTTTCCGTTGTTGACGTTTGTTGCTCGCAGAAACGGGAAATGGACCCTTATCATTTCCACATCGGGATTGCGGAGAAAACTGCGGAGCAACTCGCAACGAATGCCGAACTACTGAAAGACGGCCATGCCATCCTCGTTCCATTCGCGGCCAAGTTCATGGAGGACGAGAGGTTGATCAGTCTTAAGTAAGTACCGGGGCAACCACGCCTGGTGCGTTCCCTGTTCTTTCCTCCGTTAATTCTACGGCTGCGTGGTCGGTTGGGTGTAGTACGACCCCGTCGGTTGGGTGATCCACCCGTGCTGTCTCTCTCTTTTTGAGTCCATGATTTTTTGGTCCGTTTCGGCTGTCGTTTTGTGTGTAGTGCACTCTTGACAACCAGAGAATGACACCTGTCTTTCGTCGACGGCACAAACTCTGTTTCGTCTGCTTTCTTCCCTTCCTTCTTTGATTCATGGCGTTGGCCCCACTCGTCGGCAGCAAGCACGTCAAGAGCATGGGCTTGGGCACCTACCTTGTTCAGGAGCACGGCAAGAGCCAGTACGGCAACAGGGTGATAATCGTGCTGCCGGACACGGAAGGGAACGGTGGCCGCGTCGAGTGCACCTGCAGAGTCCCTACCAGGTTCCACCTCCTGTGCCAGGACGCCCTCGCGGTGTTGAAATGTAAGCCTCCTCCATCGGGTTGAAAACATGGATCGCAACTAATCATTGGGTTATTCTTCGGCTTGGTGTCCTCTGTTGGCCGTCATTCTGTATGTTTTATTCTCGCAGCTCACGTGCAATGTGCGACCTCATACAATCTATATTGCAGATCCTCGTATCTCGTCTCTGGGTTTTCCTCTGGTCATCTGTCGCTCGAAGTTGTTCTTTCTTGGCTGTTCTTTCTTTTGCCTATGGCACAAGCTCACCGTTGGCTGTGAACGAGGTTCTCGTAGTGGGATTCCGTCTGCCTGTGCATGCCATTTATGTCACCAAGCTATTCAGCACCCACCCCCTCTCGATGGATTTCCATGAAGGTAGGTAGAGGTTGATGAGCGTGTTACCACTGCTTGGGAGGAGTGTGAGCTCTTGGACAAACATCCCCTCGTTGGTATTGTTCAATGATGCTTTGCTAGAAGCACGGGATTCATGCCTTGCCGAAAACACGTCGCTACGTCGGATGTTAACTAAGGTGAGCTCCAGGATAAGACAAAAAACGAAGATGGATGAAAACAGCCCTGGTTTTTACACAACTTAGCGAACACATTTTGTGGTGGTAGGGCTCCTCGGTCGGTTGGTGTATTTGCCCATATCCGTAGCACCGGTCACACATCCGTGTCCGGCAGCACGAGAACCCTTCTAACGGCCATGTTCTGTGAAGGGAACCCACAAGTACCCTTCTAACGGCCGTGTTCTGTGAAAGGAACCCACGCGCAGGCGTCGTAGGAAAGGCAAGGCTCTTTTGATATCCATGACACGGTGACCTGGTAGCTTATGACGAGAAACCCAAGCTACCAATGTTCCTGCTTTGAATGCAGTCTGTTTTGACTCCGTCCGCGTTTTGCTTCTTCTATCATGGTCGTTCTATCATTGTCTTTGTGTCCACTACTCCTCGCAAATATTCTCACTGCTTCTCTTTTGAGCTAGCTCTCTACTCCTTCTGGAAGGGCAGAGTTCTCTTCCATCTTGGTTCATTGCGTGCTTTCGTGCTACTTTCCTCCGCAGTGGGATCGTTTCGGTGTTCCGTTCGCACCGGGGAGGACTTGGCGCGGGCAATAGCGGGATGAGGGAGGGTGACAAACCAAAGAACACAAAAAATCCGACGCTCGAGTGCAATTAATTGACCGTCCTTTGACGACTCTTGGCCCAATCCGCCTCTTCCCGATGCCGTGACAGCAATCGACAGGCTTGATTGCACGAGGGCGCTTATCGATAGCGGGTACACCCTGGCTTCCTTCAGGGTGCTGCACACCCACCCCGACTATCCCGTCGTACTTCCGATCTGGTCAGAGCTTTCCAAGGGCGACCTCCTGCCCCCGCGGCAGGTGACCCGGCAAGCTGGTGCTCCGAAGAAGAACCGTGGCCCCCGGCAGCGTTCCCGATTCCCTGGTCGCAACGACAACTGCCAGCGCGGACGCGGCAACGTAGCCCAAGATGGAGGNACCCACCCCGACTATCCCGTCGTACTTCCGATCTGGTCAGAGCTTTCCAAGGGCGACCTCCTGCCCCCGCGGCAGGTGACCCGGCAAGCTGGTGCTCCGAAGAAGAACCGTGGCCCCCGGCAACGTTCCCGATTCTCTGGTCGCAACGACAACTGCCAGCGCGGACGCGGCAACGTAGCCCAAGATGGAGGTGGTCGTGGCGGCGGGCCTGCCGCCGGGGGAGGGGGTGGTCGTGGCGGGGGCGGCAACTCTCGGCCCGTCCCGGTACATGGGATGGGCAGCGTTGGCAGCCACGTGGGAGACCTCAACGTCGGAGGTTCCGCCGGCGAGCGAACTACCGGGAGGTTGTGGGGGGGGCTCGCGGTTCAGCGCTACGGCTCGGAAGACGCTACCGGCCGCGACCACGCATCGGGGGCGGGGGCCGGGTCATGCTCTATGCTGAGTCAATCCCAAGGCTCCATCGACCTGTCGTAGCTCAAGTGGTTTGACTCATCTTAGGGTTAGGTAACTTGGGCCTTTGAATTTCTTCGTCGCACGTTGTCAGAGTCAAATACGACGCTGTGGTCTGTGAATGGCAGGGCGCAAGAGGTCGAATGTGTGTGCAGATTTGCGTTAAGCACCCGCTACGGCGGGGCCCGTGTTGTAGCGCCTAGTTTCGCGTGCCAGTCTCCAAATGCTATGCACAACAGAGATGAACAGCGAAATTCGACAACCACGCACGCACGCACATGACTTCGACTTGGCTTGAAAAATGGGTAGAACCGTCGAGCCCCAAGAGGAAGCTGTTGTGGAGGACGGTTATCGTCAGCCTTATCGTCAGTCATGCGCACCCACGTACCTGCAAACTGCTTCTCACGATAATCGCGACGAAGAGCGTTTGTTTGCGGAAGTGGCCCTTCACCCCAACAGACAGATTCGCAACCGAATAACAAATCCACCGTAAACGCCCGTTACCCGAACGTGTTCTTGTCAACGGGGGAGGAGGGGACAGTGCGTCGTGTAGAAGCACAGAACGCAAGTGTTGGACGCGCCCCCAGATATAGTTGCCGGTCCACGTCTGCACCGTTTAGTGGTGATGTACGCAGCGAAAATATATTGGGCCACAACCTAAACACTTTGAACGCCATGCGTTTACTGTGTTCTACTGCTGCACGATGGCAACACTACGTGCGAAGAGTCTACTACAGTACCACACCGCCAAAGAAAGGTGTGTTTGGTGTTACCTCGGCAAGCAAACATGCATCTGCAGCATTTAACTCTGTACGGGTCGTTGTGCACATTTGGATGGCTTTCGGTGCGTGCGTGCACACAGAATGTTGCACCACCTTCTGGCCCCGTGTCGCAGCTTCTACGTGATCCACTGGGGGGGGGGTTACGGCTGTCTGCTGTGCATACAGCGGTGGATACGTGTATAGGCCCATTATGCTCCTTTTTTCTTTTTTTATGCTCCTTTATTTCGGAAAGCATATGCTGCAAAAGTCAATTATGCTCATCGAATATGCTCCTTTGGTCTCGACATGCCCCCACCTATGCTCCGTTTTGGTGGCGGGAATATGCCTCAAATGCCTCTTTATGCTACCGTGCTACCGTATCACGCTTGTGTTTGTGGTGTTAATGTTAATGCTTCGCCCAAGTTCAACAACTACATACATACGTGTTATCAGTCAGCAGTTTTGTGTTTTCGAAGACTCTCGGCTCTCGTTACCTTCATCACAGCCGTCGCACTCCTTCGAAAACTGGTGCCCAAAACGAGTACTACTCGAAGTAGAACGGAGTATATACGAAGTAGGGGTACTTCATTATCTGCGGCCAACGAGCTCAACATCACCAGTCTCAATGCGGAGCACCCACAGCAAGCGGAAGCGGCAATTCCTCAGCAGGTTAGCAAGATGAGACGGCAGAAAGCAAAAGCCAACCGCACCACTTTCTCCGCTGTAGGTCTTAAGGCCTTGTACTGTAAACCAAACAGCAAGGGCATCAGAAAAATACCTTCTAGCACTCCTGAGACGTGTGTACTTAAGGAGGGCCGCCGCCTCAATCCGGTGTAAGAGACAATGCTCCTGCCTATCGTCCACGCAAGCACGAAGGACAGAAAACATCCGTTCCATGAAAGCGGAAGAGGGTTGGATCAAGGCTTCGTCTTTGGCTACGCTGTACCAAGCAGATAGTTAAAGCCTGTTGAAATGCCAGAAAGCCCACAAATCGCAGCCGGCATCCGTCTCAGCTGCCGCGACGTTGTACGCATCCATCTCTTCTACGAGGGCGGCGACCACGGTTGGTGTCACGAACGGAAGCACTTCTGGTAGGATGTGTACGTCCGACTCCTCCAGTTGGTGCCCCTTCACGAACGAACGTGAAGTTCAGCAGTCTCGCCCCCTCGAAAAGCCGGATGGTCGCGTGTTCCTTAGCTCCCGGATGGTCCCCGATTCTCGCGTATGCGTGGTACCGGACGCCGTGCATGTGAAAGAGTGCCATCTTCTTGAGCCAAAGCTTCACGTTCTCCTGCAACCGACGAAAAGTACGAGCACGTTTCACGAGAGGGATGAAGACATGATGTACAAAATCGTGTGAAACAGCTGGCTGGGTGAAACTGCTCTCATCATGGAGGGGGGATTCAAGACAGCTGGAGCTTGAAGAGCTAGAGCGTGCCATGCCGAGCAGCCCGTGCGCGGGCGTGTGTGCGTGTGGAGCCCACTGCTGTGTGCGTGTCTTCGGAGAGCGCGTGCACGCTGGTTGCACTCCTTTAAGATCGTCTTCATGTCTGTCTTAGGTGTATGCACTTATGTCAAGTGTAACACTCACATCAGATGTCCACAGGCGGCAGGCACGCTTAAGATGCCAGCGCACAGCCACTATGCTCAGCAAAGGAGCCGTGTATGCTCCTCGCACAGACGAATATGCTTCTTTTTGAGCAAAATATGCTCGAGCATTGCTATTTTTCAATTATGCTTTCTTTTTGCTCCAAATGGCCAATTATGCCAAAAGAAATGCTAGCATAATCGGCCTAAGCCTACACGTGTACATATAAGTCTATGTCATGTACGTCCACCGTCGGAAGTAAATAATAACTGCTGTAGTAGGTTGGGTTCAACCGATGCAACACATGATAACATGGATATGATACAGGATTGTTATGGTGGTGGGGTTGAGTGAGGCTTGAGCCCCGAGTGCGTGGATTTTGAACACAACAACCCTAACACCTACTGCATCATCAAAACACGGGCCCGCAAAACAATTGCTTGCGTAGAACATGGTCTCACAAGGTTATCAACAGTCCATATAGTGATCTGATGTTGGCTGTGTGTGCTGCTTGGAGGAGAGGATGCGCACACAACACTACACGGGTAACGTTGGGCGCCGCAACTCCCTCCTGCCTGTGCCGTGTGTGCGTGTGTGTGTTGTCTGTTGTGTCTCAATAACGATGTGGTTGTTGCTTGACTACTGCAGTAGTAGCAGCAGTGGGCGCTCTTACTATACAGCCAACCAAGCCGCCCGAACAATCAATCAATGTAGTAAGAAGACGTCAGGCTTCTTCAGCGGATGAGCCGATGAATAATAACACCGCAAGCACGGGCAAGCGACAGGGAGGGTGATTGAGTTGGACGCCGCTCCTGCGCTGCCGCTCGCTCCTCCTTCCATGATTGATGTCAAGGGCGTGTCTGTGTGTGCTGGTGCTGCCTCTCCCCTCCGCCAGCTCAGCGCAGCGCGACACATTGGCAAATATGTGCATATATCTACATGTCAACCATGCAGGATCGGTCTCGCTTTCATAGCGTGACCCGTGCATCTCGCATATGAGCTGCACCAAGCAGTCGTCCACGGGGTATGGTACCCGTGTGTGCATGTTTCCAAACGGAACAGAGTTGTGCTGGGGTATTGCCCGGC